ATATCCTTCTTCTTTGCAGCCTGGATCGTCGTCATGGGGTTGTTTCTGTTGTTTCTGTTGCCAGAGACGAAGAATGTGCCCATAGATGTTATGGTTGATAGGGTCTGGAAAAAGCACCCTTTCTGGAAAAGATTCATGGATTTGGATGATGGAGAGAACAAGACTTAAAAAATCAAAATTTTGATTTCAGTTCACGTTCAAAAAGAACTTTTCCATTTTGGAATTACTACTACGCCAGGTAAAGTCACGGGGGTTTATCTTAACTTAATAATTCAAATTGTTGTTTGACACAATTTGTAGGCAATAATTTTTGTTCCTGTAAACCAAATGGACAAGAAAAAATGGGCATGGCCAACAGCGCACGAGATTGGCTAAATGTCGATGTTTGATGTAATAATTCAATTGTTGAAAATTTTTACATGTCTACACAATTATTCTTATATTTCAAAAATAAGTTTTATGTCCATGGAAACAGTGAAATCAGAAAGACTAGTTACAGTTATATTTCAAAACCCATTGCAAAAACTGCAAAAGCAACCATCGCTAAACCAAGCTTATGATGTGCCATCCCTGCCGGAGCTTTCGCTGAAAAGGAGCTGCCTGGTGAATTAGGTGCAGGAACAATGGCTGCAGGGGCAGAGTTAGTCGGGGTTGGAGCAGCCGCTACAGCTGTGCGAGGCACGTTAATATCAAGCTTCTGTCCGGCCTGACAGTGGCCAGGGACACCGCAGAAAAAGAAGTGGTGGCCTTTGGTAGTTATGTTGATGGAGTCGTTCCCGGTGGTGAAGGTGGCCAAAGGAGCAGTGGCATTGCAGGCCCTGTACATTGCATGTGTTACTCGCATCACATTGTGGAATTGAGGACTGTACTCAAAACCTGTGCATAAATACGAAAGTAAGGCAACCAAAATTGGCAGTCGGCAGTCAGCTTTTCATATATATATATATATATATAAGGAGTTTTGATACTTAAAATTCTAATTAATTACAATGGTTTTTATGAGCTTGCAGGATTGGGTTTTTATATGTTCTCATTATCATCTTGTCTGAGTTAAAAAAAACATTTTTCCTATATTTGAACTTATAAGTCAGTAAAGTGTATATTCCTCATCTTAAAATATTGAGTTTGAATTCCTTATATATAACATTTTCCCTCATTTGAGCTCTTAATGTCAACGAAAACTAGGACAATTTCATATCTTTTATCTTTGCCTAGCCTCAACTATATGAGGCAATGCATCTAAAATACATGGATGGGGATTAGGTAGTGATGCCTGGGGTCCTCCTAAAGTTAATTATGCACATAATTAGCATAAAGAAAAATGGCATTCAAAAACATGTTACGCTTTTTTAATCCTACGCAAAGAAAGTGTCTGCATTGCTAACGGTGATGTGATACCACTCCAGACATCCCAAACTCTCTTAGGTTTTGTGTGCTAAAGTGAGAGCTAGTACCATCATTGAAGCGTGTAAAGTGGAGACACTAATGGTAGGACCTGATATGTCCCCAACAAGAAGAA